ATGTGGCTGACCAGGAGGCACTGCCCGGCGCAGGGGCAGTGAGTGGTGCCCAGCTCTCCCCACTGCTTGCCTTTGGAGTTGTAGGTAACAGTATCCTGCTCATTGGGGGCATGTGCTGCAGCTCCTTTGCTGGGTGCTTACGCTTGGCCCTGTTTCCGTCCACACCACGCTCCTGTGGTAAAAAGCATTACTACAACAGGGTTCTGTTGCATTGAAATTTGCACAAAACAGCTTTTATTATAAAATTCCCTAGTGCAGGGAAGACTTTATTTATTATTTCTCATAATTCACGTTTCTTCCAGTCTCTGCCTGGTTTCTCAGCTTGTTGGGTGCGCTGGGGATGGAAGGAGCCCCTCTGATGCTCCTGCAGGCAGCAGAATGGAGCAGTGGAGAATGTAGGTGCTGTGAGGGGATGTCACCATGTTAATCGTGTCCTCAGAAAGATGATGTTGAATGGCAGGTTTGGGGTCTGCTTTGTACTGCAGTCAGAGAAATACATTTGATTTCACCGTGGTCTGCATGAAACGCTGATAACTGGTCAGTATTAAGGTAAGCGTCATGAGTGAGTTTGAGTGTCTCCTGTCAGTAAGGCTAGGAGTAGCCAGCACCCACACGATGGAGGTGTGAGAGTGCTTGCCTTCATCTGTTTGGTGGCGAACTGTAGGCTGTATCTGGAAGCTTTTTTCTTTAGTAGAAAAGATGGGTAATTTCTTTTTAAAGAAAACAAGAGGGCTTTTAGATCCTGCTGCCTTGGTGGAATGCCATTTCTTTTTCAGGGTATGCCCCAGTTGCAGCAAGATGCTGCTTTTTTGGTGCCTTTCTTGTCAGAATGATTGTTTTGGTTTCCAGAATACCTAGCTTGTGCCCGTAGCCCTTCCTCCTGGTCTTGTCCAGGTTTTTGCCCTCTCCCAGCCAGGCAACTTGGTGTCTCTGTTACAGCACGATCTGATCTGCTTTTGTGCCCTGCCACACCTTGAGTTCTGCTCAGAGCACCTGAGGTACTGTCTTTCTCAAATTGGAATTAATAATTAATATAAAAAGCTTGAAAAAAATCTGAATTTTGTTACATAGTGTAATAACTGTTTGTAGATACTGTTCTGAGATGTAGGAATCTTTTGGTGATATAAGAGGTTTTGTCTGTAAATAATCAGTTTAGAGTTCAAATGATTTTAATAAAGAGAATTCTTACACAATAATTCAATAAATTTTAATATACAATCTGTGTGTCACACTTGTGTTGAACAGTAATGTGATGGCCCACAATGTGTTCACCTTCTGGCAGGTGAGTGGGGACAAATCTGGTCCAGGACAGCTACAGCTCTGGCTGTTTTTGCAGGAGGGGTGAGCGTGATGCAGACCGAGGCTTCATGCTCCTCCATTGCTGGTGTCCACCAGGGTGAGGCAGAAAGCAGAATTTCTCTAACAACTCCTAATTCTTAAACTAATTGCAGCAGGCTCCTTTTCTTTACTAGCAGTTATAGGCGGTTTGCTTTATCGTGTGTGTGTGCCTACACACATAAAACACCACTGTGCTTAAGTGCTGCCCTCATCTATGTGTGTGTTCTTCCTGGCCTTTTATGGGTTACAGAGCTCTCCTCCTGTGAAGCTGAGCTCTCCCCCTTGCTGCTGCACTGCTTCTGGCTCCGTCTCAGCCCCCTCCTACGATATTTTTAGTGCTGAAGGGGGCAGGTGAGAGGAGAGGGGCACAGGCAGGGGGGAGAAGTGAGGCCCTGGCCTGGGTTTGGCAGCAGGGCAGGATTAACCCCTTGCTCCAGGGCTGGGTCTCTGCAGGCTCTGCAAGGAAACCTGAGCTGCGCAACGCCAGGGCCCCCGGCCAGGGGAAGGCTGAGGCTGCCAAGCGCTGCTGCACGTGGGCGCTGGGGGAACGCACGGAGTGCTTTCGCTGCGTGTGGTCCCGCGCTCCGTAGCGGTGCAAAGCACTCGGTGCCGTGGCTCAGTGAGCCTGCACTCCTTTCCCATTCCTTCTGCGGGGGTGGGGGGGCACAGCTGTTACTGCACTAAAACCTGCAAGCAGCCGAGTGAAAGTGCTGCCAGCACATCTGTGCAGAACTGTGCTGCCTTGTCCCCGAGTCTGGAGAGCCCGTGTGACTCACGGGCTGCTGAGGCAGAGGTGCCTTGAGCGCAGGCAGTGGGGCAGTAGGGGGGTGGGAGCGTCTCCCCTCCGCCGAGCGCAGGCTGGTGAGCGCTGTGCCGTGCAGAGACGGGAGGTGGTGCCACTGCTACGAGGCTGGGCCGCGCAGCCTGCTGCCGTGCTCCGGGGAGCAGTGGGAACCACTGCAGAGGGGAAAGGCTTTCCTATTTCCATCTCAGCAGAGTGGTGAATTTTCCTCTATAAATAGTTGCTCGGGAGACCGTGGAGCTCCAGCAGGGTGACAGACCTGCTGCCAGGGCAGCTGAGGCGGGGACTGCACAGACAGGTGCAGTGAACGGCAGTAAAGGAAACCCATCACAGCTGTCCTGGGTCTCCTGCTGCCCTGCAGCCAAGGTTGTTCCCAGAAACGGTGCTGAGATCTGATACCCTGCGCCCCGGCACATCTACCCAGTGATGCAGAAAAGTTTGGCTGGCCCAAGGACAACCCTCCCAAGCAGTGCAGACTAAAAGGAGAGCAACACCAGCTGGTATCTCACTTTCGGGAGCTCCAGCACGAGCCAGATGATGAGAGGGGTGCCATCCCCTGCCTCCTGAGCTGCATGGTAAGTGTGCAGGGCCACAGGGGCTGAGCCCCACGTGCCTGCTTTTATGCCGTGTGTTGTGACTTGCAGGGATGCTACACTCAGCCAGGACTTACCACGTCTGTGCTGGATGAAGATGAAGGCACATATTGCTCTGCTAAATACTCCAACTCGGGTTCAGGAGCTGGGGTGCATGGCGAGTGGTGGGCTGGCTCCTTGCACCCTTCTGTGCAGGCGAGGTGAAGCATCGCTGCTCCCTGCTTAGCTAACTGGTACCAGCACATTTTTGGGCTGAAGTTCTCTGAGCTGGTCCAGGCCTGCAGCAAGTCAGTGGGTTCTGCGTGATGTAGCTTTTAATGAAAAAAAAAAAAAAAAAGTTTTTTAATATATCGACTGACAAATAACTACAAGCATTGTTGGGTTTTTGTTGTGCTTTTTGTTTTTTATCATAAAGCTTCGAAAAGTGTGTTTCCGTCTTCTGTACCAAAGTACAAAGCAATGCTCTTTACCCTGTACTGGATTATCCACGTCAGTGCAGTGGGCAGGAGGTGAATTCGCACACACCTCAGGAAGGACAGCAGGGCACTGTGAGCTCAAAAACTCCGTCAGCCCAAGTGCTAGGGTGTGTCTGATGCTCACGGAGTCTGACTTTGGATCCTAAGCAGTAGGTCACCGTTCTTTCCCACCAAAGACTCTTATTATCACAGAAATCCATCTAGGGAAGATGCTGAACCCTCATCTCCCATTTTTCCTTTGGTAGTGACTTAAGAAACAAAATCTTCAGGGCTTCTGCCCAGCTCTTAGAGATCAACTCCTTGTTCTAATTATTTGACAAAACCTTAGAAGACGTGACTGAAGAGGTATCTATCAGGTGGTGCAGGAGCTTGCAAGGTTATTGATGGGCTATGTCTGTGCACAAATAAGGACAATCCTGATTTCACCTCCGTATCATAGCTAGGACTCAAGTAAATATTCGCTGCAGGGAGTGGCCATATGGACATGTAGCACCCTGCAGGTTCAAGCCTAAAAGAGACTGAGGTTTAAGCCCAAAAGAGTGTGTATAATTGCTGAGATTTGAGGTGCAAAGGAGAGAGATTCTGAGCTCCTTGCACGCTGCTCCATGGGGTAGGGAGAACAAAGAAATGTAAGCTCTGGCAGTTCTGCGTATCCCTGACTACACAGCCATTCCAAGCCTATTCTGAGCCTAAATTAGAATTGAGAGTTCACCTGGTGCCCAAAGACAGGCTGCAGCTGTGTTGCTGTGCTGGGATAGGAAAAGATTTTTGAGGAAGCTGTGCTGCTTTTTCAGCACCTGTAAGATGTCACTGTCCCTGAGCAGCTCCCAGTCATGTGGCTGCTGCTATGAGGCGTGTGACAGGACATGCACCTACACTGCCAGCACGTTACGACTATTTCTGAAAGTTCTGCACTGCATACAAGCTCTCAGCTTTGGCAACCTGACTCTGAAGGATTTAAAGGTTGATATTTCTACTCGTGCTAATGGCCTGCTTGGGTTATTATCACCTGTCACAAACTCTGGCAACAGTTGTTCATATGAAGCTTTGGCCATTACAGCAAGTGACATTTCTGAATTATGAAATGCTGGGTTGGAGCACCCAAAATAAGGCAGCGTAAATCTGTATTTCCATTAGCAATGTGGGGACTGGGGGCTCTATTTCAGGTGACTCGCGCTTGAGCCAACTCCACAACAGTGCTGTGGAGTAGGGGGAACAGCAGTTGTATCCGTCTGTTTGCAGTGCCTCTGTGTACCTTTTGCTGTCATAGAAACATGCAGGGGAGCAGCCTTTCCCCTCCCTCGTGGCCTCTCTGTAGGGGATCATGGGACTCTTGGTGACAAATCCCTGCTTTGGCCCCATGCTGCATTCAGATGTGCAGCGTAGCTTCTAAACTGCACGCTCCGCTTAGCACCAGCCTGAGATGTGAATCTTCTGCTGCCAGTGAAAGCCCTAAGTTAGTGTGCCTTCTGCCCAGTCCAGTGTCACAGCCACTGGAGGGGACCCTGCAGTCTTCACCGAGCCATTGGAAGTCTGCCCAAGGCACAGGGAAACCTGAGACTTCCACCTGAGAGCCAGGAGCCCTGCCCAGCCTGCCAGCTTTCCTCCTGTGAACTTCTAAAATAATCCTTACTTCTCTGAAGTGCCAAAAACATTCCTATGTTCCTAACAGCTCAGTTCCAGGTTTGGACGAAGCGGGTGGAAAGGAACAGGGTGAGGGAGAACAGAGCTAGAAGAACAAATGGGAGCTGTGCACATCAGTGTGTGCAGCTGTTGTGCAGCTCTCTCTTTATGGAGTAAAATGCTGGAGATTGCACTGCACATAGTGCACAGCCTGGTTCTCCACTGCTTCTGTCCTCTCACCAGGACCTGCTGGGACACTGCCATGGAAGAGCAGGTGCAGGAGGATGTGCCAGAAGTGCAGCACCCAGGTGAGTCCTCGGACCAGAGGTGAGATCATACCAGGCTCTTCCCATGCCAGAGGAGGTCAGGGGACCCATCTGGCCGTTCCTCTGGGAGAGCTCAGCGGTTCCTGCAGGGTAGCAGTAATGTTTCTTGGTGATGGTCCCCACAGGAGGCCACCACCCAGTGCAGGAAGGAGAGGTGTTCAACGCACGATACCAGGCTGTGCGCGAGCTGGGCTGCGGGGCCTTTGCCACTGTCTGGCTGTGCCAGGACATGAGGTGAGGGGCTGATGCCATATGGGGCAGCAGGGAAGGACGGCCAATCTCCTGGGCAGGACTTGCCCCCTGTGTAGGCCAACCAGCATGCATCGACTTCTAGCTGTGATTCCTTTTGTAGGAAGAAGAAGAATGTAGCTGTGAAGGTCCTGAAGAGCAGGGAAGGCTTTGCTGAGGCTGCCCAGGATGAGCTCTCTCTCCTCAAATGTGTACGTATCTTCCCAGGCTCTGTGCTTTTCTCTGTGGAGGTGGCCACTGAATTCAGACTGAGGTATCAGTTTCATTGTCCCTTCTCCTTCCAGGTCTGTCTGAGGAGCAAGGTTGGGGAATGGAAAACAATGTCAGATAATTCATTAAGTCACCTTTGCTTGGCCATGACCCCTAAAAGAGGCACTTTCTCCTTCCTCCTGTAATTCCTCCTGTAATGTAGGACAGGTGGCTGTGTCTCACTTGTCCTGTTGGCCCATTTTTTTTCAGCTGAGACTAAAATCCAGTGAATAAGAGGAACTTGCAGAAACACAGGGTGAGAAACCACCAGAACCAACAAGAAAATGTGGCAATGTTGTTCTTAACCACAGTTGGGAATGTTTTCACTATATTTGTGTACTTCCTAGCTCGGAGATCATTGCTCTATCACAACTAAATACTGAAGCAAAAGGAAGCATCTTAAAAAAAAATGCAGGACAAAGCAAATGTGATATATAACCTCTCAACTCAGAAAGCTTCCTTCTGCTTTTGCTAATGGATGCAGTAATTAGGCACGCGGATCTGAGTCTCAACTAGTTGCCTTTGAAAATGGCTTGACCTGCTAGTTCTAGAAAGCTCATGGTTGTAATTCTTAGAGTTTACCTAAATGTGAAATTACATCAGCTGTATGTGAATAAAAGTCATTAAATTTTGCCTTTCAAATTACTCTGAGGCCTTTCTCCAACAGGTTTGGGAAAGGCTTGGTTCGCATCTGCACCTCTGCAGGCCGTATCCAAAGGGATATGAGCCAGACTCAGTGATGCAAGAGGAAGTAAAAAGTAAATGTAATCAAAGGGTGCTTTTCTATGCATCAGCACAATTCTACATGTAGACCAAGCCTTACCCTTAATTTATTACTAATTCTCTCAGAAAGACACGCCTTCCATTCAACAGAATAGAGCTGGTTCCCAGGGTCATTTCCATCAGCACAGTGGTCCGTGCCCACAGTTCTGCCAGAGGAGGCAGTTGGGACCTCCCTGGTTCCACAGCTGCTCACTTTTGTGAGAACAAACCTCCTGGTGCTGGCACAGACAGATCTGGCAGCTGCACAAAAAGCAAACCAAAATCACCCATAATTACAGCCACGTCAGAAAGAAAAAACAAATACATATACAATAAATACAAATATAAATATATATTTATATATTAAAAGCTGTAGGTACAGTAGCCGTTGCTTTAGCTGAACCGGTGCTCTGTGGGAGCAAACTCATGGTACAGTTTGCCATGAAAATGTGTGGTGGTGGTGCAAGAGCTGGGGATACCAACAGCACCTGCGCTGGGGCAGAGGGGTGTTGCCCAGCCAGGCACCCCATACCAGCAGCAGACATCCATGTGGGCAAGAAGACAAGCTAAGCACGAGGTGCTGCTCCCACTGAACACCACCCTGCCTGGCCAAGAACAGTTTACAGCTCAAGATTTCTTGGGCCAAGGGCGACGTGCTGAGCAGTAATTCTTAGTGGATTTATTTTCAAGAGTCCTGCCCTGCTTTCCTGCAAGCTGATGTGAGCTTCAGCACCTGAAGCATTCTGTGACAAAAACTGCTACCAATCATCCATGCACTGTGTGAAGAACCACCTTCTCAGGTTTCTTTCTGACCCTCCCAAGTACCAGGTTTATTGATGTCTCCTGGTTCTTGTATGAAAGATCTGCATTCACTTCTTCCCCCACCGCTCGGTATCAGAGATCTCTGTTGCACCAAAGCCAACCCTTTTTCCCTCAACTGCTCCAGGTGCAGAACCAGCTCTGCACCCTGGTAGAACAGGCAGCCTTCAGTTGACTGCAGACAACCACAGCTGTCTGAGTTATTCAGATGCTATGAAGGTGATGCTGTCACATGGTCAGAGGAAGACAGCACACAGAAATTAACTCCATAGTAACACAGTTTGCTTGTGTTCTGGGAGTCTGGTTTGCTTGATACTGTTCTCATGAGATTTGTTATAAAATGCCAATCCTGGAAGAGAGTCTGCAGAACAGGATAAAATGGGTGCAAGATGTTCTTGTGCACATATATGTCTCTAATTGCAGTTTCCTTGGAATCTCCCCCTCAGGTAAGCAGTATGAAGAAGAAGGATCGGGCAGGAGAAAACATCATCTGTTTATTAGATGACTTCAGAATGATTGGAGAGAACGGCTTCCATATCCTTCTGCTAATAGAACTGCAGCTCTCAATCAGCGAAGGTTGTGCTGGGGAGTCACAGGATAACACAGATCCAACTGCTGTGCTCAGACGAGGAGGATGAGCAGGGCAATAGCTAGAGCAGAGAACGTGAAGGTGGCTGGAGGAGGGGAGGCTGGCTAATGAAATGTTTGGCTGCTCTGGTGAAGGGCAAGAAGCTGGTAGCAGCATGTGCTCTCTGTTGGTGAATCCATGACTCTTCCCCACATACGTGCTTGGTGTTTGAGGCGCTGGGTCCTTCTCTGCAATTCCTGATGGGTAACTATGCAGCCCAGGGATTGCCTTTGCCTTTTGTGAAAAAATCTTTACAGCAGGTGAGAGAACTGAGTTCTGCTTGGGTGAGGGCACTGTGGGAGTGCTGGCTGGGGAACTCACCATAGTCTTCATCCTGGGGTCACCTGCCATGAATTTCTGTATGACTGCATCTGCAAAGAAAGAGACAACAGAATCAGTGCCAAAGACATACAATTTGAAGGAAAACAGTAGCTATTTATTTTGGGTGGGAGGAGAAAAAATGTCAAATGGAACCCAGAATGGGAGGTTAACATAGTCACAATAATACAGGGGCAACGTGTGTTACTGCCTATGCCTATTAGTCTCAGAGGATTTGGAAAGGGGTCAGGACCATTGATGTAAAGAGTCAGGGAGCTGCAGATCTGCACCAGGGGACTCAGAGTTGGCACTTACATTTGTATCTCATTCACACCTCAGCAAATTATTGAATTTTCCAGCAGTTCAGCTGTTCACAAGATGAACAGACTGCCATAGATATGTTTCTTGTTGGAAAAAAAACAACAACACATGTATTTCTCTGTCCTGCTGCTATCATCTGAAGTTTCCTATGGTAGTGATGCCAGACTGCTAGCATTTGCCCCAGTGAGTTCAGCAGGGCTCAGGGCTGGCTTCAGCTGTTTGCCCAGTAATTCCAAGGCTGCTGAAGGTCTGCCCCACAGCTGATTCCTTCCCCGAGCTTTTAAATTGCTGGTTAGGTTGGCTGGTCCTCCACCCATATTGAGGTTTTCCTGCTCAGAGCCAACACTTCCTTCATCCCCTGTAAGGATGTGGCATGCTGATCAAACAGTCTGTGAAAGCTGAGTTTCTTATGCATTGTCTGTGAACAGCGAAGGAGCAGGAAACCTGAGTCTAAGAATAACTAATATTACATTTTGCTGCCAGTGCCAAGGCTTATCAGAAGTCTGCAGACTTGCCAAAATGAAGATTTGCTACCTTGATTCCTATGCCCTTCTAGGGACACAGAAAGAAAACCACTTCCTCTTCCATCCTTTTCTTGGAATATCTTCTTCCTCGAAAGCAGCTCCACTAACACCTGAATAAGTTAGATGAAAACGTAGTGGCATTAATTGATATGCTCTGTTTCACACCCAAGCCTTTTGTTTGATCTCTTATCTGTGTAACTGTAATTTTATTTTTTTTTTTCCCCTTTGGATCAGCATTGGGACAGCATTTACTTCTGACTTATTCCAGTTTAGCTATTTAAATCTTTCCTTGTGTTTCACAGTTACCATTTAAGGTTGGTATTTTCCTGGGGCTGGTGTTCATCCCAGAATAGATTTTGATAATACAGAGAATATTTGCCAGCCTTTACGACTGACCAGTGTTTTAAAAGAGCAACTTAACCTCCTAGTAGCCTTTTCACTGTTACTGATCTCTGATAGAGCGTTTCTCTTGCACGCATTGTTTATCTCTCCCCTGTGACAGCCAGGCTCTCCCTGCTCCGCCGTGAGCTGTTCTTTCCCTACATGGCTCTCCTGCAGTACCCTTAATTCCTCTCTGCATGTACTCACTCATCATCCCTGCCTCCTCCTGGCTGCGTTATGATTCACCCCTTCTCTTTGCTTGCATGATGGGACTCCCTCCTGTGCCACGTCAAACACCCTATAACTGACTCCCAACTTCCATTCCAGTGATAATGCTGGATTAACAGACAGGCTTGGTGGGCTGAAGACGTGCCAGCCACGTGAACAAAAGCTGCTTTTCAGGAGAACGTTCTGCTTTGTGATCGCAGCGCCTCTTCGTGTCTCGCCCTATTTCCAACTCTCCAGGCCTGCCCATCTGTGCTGGCACCTGGGCACTCTGCTGTGTCCTCTGCCAGATCTCCACGCTCCGTCACTGGCGGTGCCGAGTGTGTGGGCTACGGCGCTGGCCATTCTCAGGGTGAAACCACTTGTGCCTGCTTCTACAGGAACTCTCAGCCAACATTACTGCTCTTCAGGGTGCAACTGCCACCCCCATACAGTATCTGCCACATTGCTAACCTCAGTGCTGTTTGGCTCACACAGGTGCTAGCAGGCCTGCACTTCCTGCATGGGCGCTGCCGGATTATCCACGCAGACATCAAACCAGAGAACGTGCTGCTGTACATTCATGACAAAAACCTCCAGAGGTTTCTGCTTGATGCTGCTGACTGTGGCCAGAGAACAGATTTGAGGCTAAAGGCACCAGGTGAGCACTGGGGGTTTTATTGCAAGAACAGAGACTTAGGAGGTTACTGCCAGAAATGAAACGGCGCAGTAGGTGCAGATAGCTTAAGAGTTCACATCTCCCACAGCACTGGTACAAAACAACACAGCCAGCTCACGCTGCTGACACCTCTCCTGTCTGCTTCTACAAACCCCACATCGAGCGGCTCCAAGTTACCAAGGGCACCAACAGAAAAGTGGCCTTGCACAAAGGCGTGCGTGCAGAACAGTGCAAAATCAGAGGCACGTGTCAATAAGCTGAGCACAACCTCAGAGCTAATTCTGACAGCTTTCAGGACAGGATGGTTCCCTCACTGCTTCTTTCAGCTACGGAATAGGATACATACTGACTGGTTTGATCCAAAAACTGTATGACACATCTACTCTTTTATTTCCCGTATTCCTGAGGTTTGTGGGAGACCTGTATGTACTCTTTGAGGCCTTTTGAGATGTGATTTATTTTCAGAGAATGATGTGAATACATGATAAGCCATAGGGCTGGGGAGTTTCTCAAGGGATTTAGTCTCCCAGCAATGAGACTCTTCATATTTTCTCCCATAATATTCTCCCACAAGCATTTCTCCCATGATGTTGCTGTTTTGTCCCTCAAACCCTGGGGCAAAAGACAAATGCTAAATTATTGGCAGAGTCTTTTGTTGGGAACAAAAAGGCATGATACCAGACATAAGTTGACAGTTACAAAGCAGCAGAAGAAAAATTACCCTTTTCCAGGGTCTGTATGTGAAAATGCTACCTTGACAGTTCTTGACAACTCTTGCCAGGCAGGCACCTTTCAGCAGGAGGTGTGTGTGGTCACACCACTCCACTGCAAGCTGCAGTTTTCCATAACATTCTCTTAGACTGACTGGTTAGCAGCCCTTCCTTTGCATTCCCTCAAAAATGAGAAGTGGTATTTTATTGGTGATGAAAAGAATCACCTGTCTAAAGCATTTTTGGATTGCTAGGTTGAAAAACTTCAAAGGCAGGTAGGTCTACAAGTACCTTCTGTGGTAAGTGATGCATACCTGTTGTTTTGGAGAAAGACCTGATTTCTCTCCCTCCTTTCCATCTAGGAGGTGACCCTGGCAATCAACTGGAAGATTCTGATTTAATGAGCATAGAAGTGAAAATTGCTGATCTGGGCAGTGCATGCTGGACAGTGAGTCGGCTGCAAGTCTTGGTCCTGTGACTGTGAGATGCTTTGCACTTCCTTCACAGCTGGGGTGTCAGTCCTTCGACAGCTGAGCAGTTATTCTGGAGTGTGCTAAAGCAGAACTGATTCATCACTCCCAGCTTAGAGTTGGGCAGTACACTCCAGAGATATGTCAGCTTTGGATCCTTCTTCCGCTTGCAGTTAGTCTGTAAACCAGAAATTTGTGAACAAGTTCACTGTGAAATGTTGGGAGGTAAATTTAGTGTGGTGCCAGTAGGGCTGAGAATGGGTCTGATGTCTCCTGCACGCATTTACTACACACCTTCAGTTCTTCCTCGTGATTGCATGGACAGCTTGTGGCCACAAGCATCACTGTTGCTCATTTATTTGTTACTCGAAGCCAACCAAAGGGTGTTTGTTTCTGTTACAGTATAAGCCTTTTTCTAAGGAGATACAGACCCAGCCATACCGCGCCCTAGAAGTGCTGCTTGGATTGGACTATGGCACTCCTGCAGACATCTGGAGCACAGGCTGCCTGGTAGGGCTGGAGACAGTGCTGAGCACGCACAGAAGGTGACTGACACTGGCAGGTCCAGGGCAGCAGTCCTCAGCACCCACCTGCACACTGCATGTGGAGCACAACCTCCTTGCCATTCCTGAGTCAGAGAAGGAAAAGCAGGCTGTCTGCACTCCTTCACTTTGGACTGAAAGTATGCTGCAGATATATTCAATGTAATTAGTTTATGCTTAAGGCAGTTCACACTGCAAGCATGGTGCTAGCTCATGTATTTGACTGAAGCAGGCACACGCTGGTTTCCATCCTGATGGAACTAAAGGTGCTGATTCACAGTGGTGCACCAAAGCAACGTGAATCTTTCCATGTTTCATTATCAGTTCTGTGTGATAGTACCTGTGCCGGTTCCCCTTCCCATCAGAGTTCATGAGGAAGAAAAACGCCCAGTTGGTCAGTGAATTAACGCTACTCCATTTCTAGGCATTTGAAATGGCAACGGGGGAGTGTCTATTTAATCCTCAACCTGGGAAATATTTCTCCAGAGATGATGGTAGGACTCCATCAGTTGTATTCATTTCACTGACAGAAGCATCACTGCCTCTGTATCTAGACATGTTTTCTCTTCCTCTGTCCAGATCACGTTGCTCGCATTATTGAACTCCTGGGAAGAATCCCTCCCCAGATTGCTTTATCCTGGAACAAGTCAACAACGTTTTTCAGAAGGCCAGGTAAGAATTAGCCAAAGGAAGTTTACCCTGAAAATCACTGTGGATCTCTGATACACTCCTCAGCTACTACTGAAAGACATCAAAAGTAATGTTATAAAGTGCAGGCTACAAGCAGGGACAGAACAGAGGTAGAGATTTCGTAAAGCGCAGTAACGCTTCCCGCATGGCCACCTTTGGAATCCAGGAGCATTCCAGCAATAAATGCAAATACAGAAACCTCAAAAAGGGTCATAGTAAATATCGAGCAAGGAAAAGATTTCTATCCTTTCTCCTTTGGAGCTGGAGAGAATGGAAATAAGGACAGGAAACAGCTACATGGCAGGAAAGCTGCGAGTGTGCAACTGGCTGGATTTCACCCATTCACTAGCAGAGAACAATGATGAAGAGGAATGGGACACTCATATCCTCCCATCCTTCCACCATAGCTGCTATATTTAGTCTTCTGACCCAGCTGTAATGTCTTTCTGTTTTAATCTCCCAATTCCTTTGGCTCATTAAGCTTGAAATAGTTTTTTTGACTTCAAGGCATTACATAACTCCATCCTTCTGCAATTCAGTCCATCCTCCTCCTCACTCATATTAACCAGCCACACAGCCTGTCTAGGTACAATTCCTCTCATGTTGCACACTAATGCAGTGCTGTAGATCAGCAAGCACCTCCCTGCTCATTTTCAGCTCTTTGTTCATTTATTCCTTCTATGGTGCTCAAAAGATGAGTCAAAAACAATCCTTGTTGTATATTTATTCTCCGTGAGAACCAAACTGGCCCAACCACACATGCCTAACCTGAATCACTGCATTTACACCACTAACTCTAAGGGACAAGGCTCACTTCCTGGTCAGTAGTGTCACCCTTAATCTCATGGAGTGAGCAGGCACAAAGCAAATTAAACATGAATGGCTCGTGTCTGTGGCAACAACGCACTCTGGGTTGTGCACAGGTAGGCAGAGGGACCACAGGAATGACTTCGGTATCACCATCCTGGGAACGCTTCATCTGTGCTTGATGTGTTCACATCTAATAAGTGCTCACGAATGAAGAGGCCCCACACGCTAACTTGTAACGGTGATTTTTGAAACACCAGAGAGCGAAGTCTAGAAGTGGGAGTGCACGTGAAGCATAGACACGATGATGCACACAGACCGATCTTTCAGGAGGATTTGGATGAGTTGTGCGAGGGGAGGAGCAACAGCCTATCGCTCTCGAGGGCGTAATTAACGTACTGTGCTTACGCGCTCTCCAACAGGTGCTCTTCTGCGGATCTCCAGGCTCATTCCCCGCAGCCTCCACGCCATCCTGGCGGACAGACTTAAGTGGAGAAAACACGAGGTGCCTCCATTCACCAGTTTCCTGATGTCGGCGCTGCGCTACGCCCCCGAGAAGCGCGCCACGGCCGCGCAGTGCCTGCAGCACGCGTGGCTCAGCACCCCGTGACCGGGCACGCGCATCCCCGCGGGCGGAGCCCCGCAGCGGCTCGCTACGACCGGTCGGCGCCGGTCCGGTCCCGCTCTCGGGGCCGCCTCCCCGCCGCCAGCGCTTTTCGCGGCCGCTCCGGCGGCCGCGGGAGTTGAGCACAAGATGGCGGCGCTGCGGGTTCACCCCCTGCGGCCATTTCCCGCCCGGGGGCGGCGGCGGGGGGTCCGACGCGACGAAAAGGGCCGGGCGGACCGCCGGCAGCTTGCACTCAGTTCGGTTCCACAGGAGCTGAGCGCGGTGCCTCGCGAGGCTGCGCGGCCGTCATCCGCCGTGGAGCCTTAGGCGCGCGGCGGGCATTAAACAGAACGGACGGTCAGTCACGAGATCCCTGCTTCTTTTCCCCCCTCTCGTCGTTTCACAGGCCGCGCCGCTCCCAGGCAGACCGGCCGACCGAGGCCCCCCTGGCTCTCGAGGTCCCGCCTCGGGCCCGCAGAACGGCTCCCCACCCCGCCCTCCCGCTCCCTCGGCCGCCGGGCCGCCCCTCCTCCCCCGCGGGCAGCGCCCTTTGTGTGGGGCGCGGAGCTCCCTCCCCTCAGGCGACAGAGGGCCCGGTGCGCCCCCCTTCCCCTCACCTCAGGAGGGCCCAAAGGGGGAGGGACGCAGCCGCCCGAGGAGAGCAGCACCACCGCCCCGCGACGCCGAGGGCCGCCCGCACCGCCCCCGGGCGGACCCCCGCACGCCCCCGCCCCTCCGCAGCGCGGACGTGCCGAGTGGCAGGCCCCGCACCCGGAGCACCGCGCGTGCGCGACGCGCCTCCCGCCTTCCCCCCCCCCGCGCTCTACTCACTCCCAAGCTGCGCACGCGCGGCACCGCGCGGCTGCCGCCCAGGAATCCCGGCCGCCCGCGCCGCCCCTTCTTTCTGCCACGTGTCCCGACGCGGGACTTACCCCGCGGAGAGCTGCACCTCGGGGAGGGAGGAGCCCGGCGCGGCCGGCGCCGCCCCTCAGCACGTAGCGCGCCTCGGCCGGCGGGCACCGTCGCGGCCCGCCCGGCCGCACCGCGTCGGCGCTGGCGACGTCCCGCCCTCCCCCGCCGATTGGCGGCCCGGCGAGCCGATGGAGCGCCGCGTCCGTGAGGCGAGCGGCGGGGTGGGCGGGCGGCTTCCAATGAGAAAAGAACGCGGGAGGGGCCGGGCGTAGAGCCCGCCGATAGGAAGCGAGGGGAGGCGGGGCGATATCGGCGGCGGGCGGCCCGGCGGGGCGCGGCGCGGCGCCGTGGCAGCCAACGGGGAACGCGAGTAGGCGTGGCCGGGGCGCCCCTGGCGCCGGCGCCGGGGATCCCCGTGCGCGCAGTGCCGTTTCCGCCCGGCCTGGGGAGCAGCCGTCGTACCGCTGCCAGGGGGAGGGGCTGGCGCTGCCGCCGCGGGCTCGCTGCCGCCGGCCGCCCAGGAAACGCCGTGGCGCTCAGCCGGGCCTAGTGCCGCGCGGGGCCCGGGGAACGGGCCGGCCAGGTAGGCGTGGGCCCGCGGCGGGCGGGAGGGAGGAAGAGAGCGCGCGGACGGGCGCGCGGCACCGGCAGCCCCCTGAGCGGGCCCTCGGCAGCGGTGCGGAGCTACGGGGCCGCCGCCGAGGGAGGCCCGGTGCGGTGGCGCGGACCGTCTTGGCGTGCTCCGTGCTGCGGGGCCGGCGCTGGGCCGCGGGGCTTCGTGGGCGGTAGCGAGCGCTGGGCCTGCCGCGCTCTCCGTCCGGCGGTTCGTCCCTCGGCTCGGGGCCGCCCGCTCGGGCGGCTCGGCGTTTTCTGCTTTCTCACGGTGCTAGGGCTCACCCTGCAGGGGCCGCGGCCGCGCGGGGGGCCCGGCGCTCGCAAGGTCACCGTCGGGCCGCCCTTGGGTGTCGCCGGGCTGCGCGGCCCCGCCGTCCTCCGCCGCCGTCGGGGGAACCGCATCCCCTCCGTGGAGCGACCCCCGGGCGGACCTTTTCCCGCCTCTCGAGGGGTTCCCATCTCCGTGCCCCCGGAAAGGGCCCCGGCCCGACCCCCGGCCATTATGTAACGGGGAGCAGCTCTGAGCCTCGCCTTTGTGCGGGATGCGGCCCCGGAGCTCGGGCCGCCGTGTTCCAGACGGCCCCCCCCCCGCCGCGAGGCATTCTGGAACGGCTGTGCCTTAAGGCCCGAACTCAGCGAACCAATTTCCTTTTCCTTCCTTAGAAAGAGGAGATTTCCCTTTTCGCTCGTATAGGAAGCCCTGGGATTTTATTTTCCTTTCTTGATGCGGTTGACCCAGGCCGTTCCCAGCCCCGGGGTGACAGCAGCGCTCCGGGTGCCGGCTGGGAGTTGGGCAGGGCTGGTGCTCCCCAGTCCCCCATTAGCGCAGCGCCAGGGCAGGGGAGGCCTCGGGTTCTTCAGGCCTGTTCCCAGAGCCCCGAGCAGGAGCAGGAATGACAAACCCATCGAGGTGTCTTTCGTCGTCATCCCACGTTGGGTGAAATTGCAGAATATGGGCTGCAAACCCTGGGTTACCCTCTGCAGATATTCTGATCTGTGTGAAAAGTAGGGCAGCAAGGATTGATAGGATCTTCCTGTGAACTGCGGGCTGCAGCCGCCTTGCCTCTGAACTCCGGCCTCCTTCCAGCCAGTCGCAGAGCCAGATGCTTGCCTTATTGTTTGTGTGTCTCCTTCCTCCCCTTCCACCGGCTGGGCCCCACTCGCCTTATTGACTGGAATTTCTGCTGTGCGCGGTGGGTGTGTGCGGCAGACAGCAGCCTGCGAGTGCTGAGAAGGGATTTTCCATTCACAGAGTGGGGAACAGTCAAACTAATGGCCCGGCTCAACTTTGGGGCTGGGAGTAGATTGCAGGCAGAGGAGTTTCCCCCTGCTGCTCCCTGCAGAACACCATTTATATGCTGCTGCTTGCAGGGCTGTATGGCACAACGTGCAGCAAGCTGCCGTGCCGCGGTGAGACGTCCTCTGGTAATGGAAGGATTCCTCTCCTTGCTCGGCTTGAGTGCTCGGTGAGGGAACAGTTTGCAGGAGGCCATTTTTGACGTGACTGTATTGTGGAATCTGCCAGCTCCCATCTACACACTGTCTGCTTGAATGTAATAGCTTTTTTTTTCTTTTTTTTTTTTTTGTTAAGGAAGAATGAGTACCTTTCTTATCTGATTAACTAACCATTTGGCACTGGCCGCTGTCTGGGAGGTGATGTGCTGCTGGGATGAAGCTCAGTATCCCAGTGCATTTGTTAAAGGTGGAGCTGCTGGTTGAGGCGTGCAGGATGTGACATGGGAACACGTTAGCGTCAGTGCCATCTTTGGGAACCACACCTCACAGGGAGCCCTGCTCCATGTCAGGTCCTGGCCTCGCTTATCAAACCCATAACGCTGTTTTCTGAAAGCAGAAATTCCAGGAGCAGAATAGTGTGAGAGAGATTGAAACGCTCTGAAATCCTCTTGGCTGACTGCAGCCATGGTGAGGGTGTGGAGCTCCGAGCAGCCCTCGCACATAGAGCACCAGCTGGTCTCCAATCATGGTTCTGTGATTCCACGAATGGCATCCAGCGCTGGGGCAGAGCACAGTGGGACAACCACAGCAGGTTGGGATTTCCTGGTGGTACCAAAACCGTTTCCTTCATGGACTAAAAGACAGCAAGCCATCTCCGTTGCCCCTTAGTCTTTGTTCACTGTCTCCCTGTGCGTTATAATGGGGAATTATCTGGTGCCTTGCATCCTGTTGAATAAGTGACACTGCTTTAGCAAGGCTCTGGCCTGCTTTTTACTGTCATATCCCAAGTGACTCAAAAGCAGTATTTCTGCTGGTGTTGTCTGAGATTGTATGGCCTATAGTAGCGTGAAAATCCCAGATATGTTTAATCCCTTATAGAAAGAGTTCTCCGTGGTAGCCAGATCTTATTTTGAGAAGTTATAGGTCACAGTTGAGAAATCCCATCGCAAAGAAACGGCATTGAATGAGCATCTTGGAGCTCGCGAAAAACCTTGTGCACTGCTTCTGGGCAAAAAGCATAATCCAAAGGAACGGTTCATTTAAATTTTCTAAATGCTTTGTGAAGTTTTGTGTGTTTTTTTTTTTTTAAAGATTGATTCCAACATTGAGGTGCAAGGCATTCAGCAGAGACCTGAGTGCACAGTGCCCAGCCGTGTGGTTCATCACCCCACTGCCTGTCCGTCCTTTCCCTTTGGGCACCCAGGCTTTTTCCAGCTAGTCTTGGATGATGTGATGAGATAAAAATGTTTCTACTTTGGCAATAGTAAACCAAACGTAATGGGCACCCAGAGTTTTGAACACTCACAGATCATTGTTCTCGTGGCAGTGTTGCCGCATTACAAATGCACATTTGTGTTCTTGCTCCGGTGCTGCTTTTGTGTGTAGTTGAGGACCCGACCAGCGAGATCTCGTGTTACGCTGCCTGCATAAAGGTTGCAGTCCGTGCTGTTTTTTATGCAAGACGTAGGAACTGTACTTTTGTTGAGAGTATTGGATGTATGCTTAAATCTACAGTGGGTGTTAAATCTCAGGTGACGCGAACCTAAAGCCATTTGATTGAAAAATTTTGTATTTTGCAGCATCATCTTGTGCTGTTTATTTTTTACTCTGTCAAAATTAAATAAAGCCCTGCAAAACTATGTGTGTTAAAGCTGTTAGAGATTGAAGGCAGCCTTTGGCTTACGTGACTGCTAGAGGCAAGGGTTAGCACACAGCAAGTTTGCACTTACATTCTTAAATTAGAGACAGTTTTGTATAAATCTGGCTTAACCTAAACCTTTTGCTGATTTTGATCATGGAAAGAGCCTCAGACTGTAACGCAGCAAGAGTTCCACCTCTTGGAATTCTGGGAGCTGAGGTTTTTTCACTTCTGAACTCTTGGTGAAGTTCTTGGGGGCTTTTGATGGTTGTTCTTTTTTTCCCCCAAGATTTGCTGTTTTGGTGGCAGTTTCCCAGTGTTGCTGCAGCCCCTGTCCCTGCTGAGCGGGCAGAGCGTGGGCTGCTCCTGGGCTCCCCACGGT